ATAATTATTAAAAAGATTAATTTATTATTAAAAAATTTAATTAATAGTATATAAATTAAAATTATTTTTAAATTTTTTAAGACCAATTAGGACTTATTAAGACTTTTACCAACCTTACCTGATAAGCATTCTATGGAAATAAAGATATAAAACGTTTATTAAAGTAAAAGAACTTGTTAATATTCAGATCTTAGATAAATGATCCAATTGAATAATAACAGTTTTTTACACTCCTTATCATCTTTCATAACTTACCCTTTCTCTTTTATTTCCTTCTTTATATATGATAATTCTTAATTAAATTTTTGAATAGGTAATAACCAGCCTTTCGCTCTGAATGGTTGATTTTCCTTTTTCTTTGAAAGAATTATTAGTCTAAAATAATACAAGGTTGATTTTGATTTAGATTAGAATAAATAGAAGTTTTTGTATTTCTTTTCTTATTTTGTAATTTTGTATAATTTTACTTACTTTTAATAAAGATTATGTGAAGTTATAAATAACACTTAAAAAAAATTTTTTTAGTCTCAAAGCCCTATTTTCCTAGCAAATCCTATATAATAATATTTATATTAATTGTAAAATTTTAATAAATTTGTAATATTATTTCAAAATAAATCAATTTTACAATTGCATTATCTATTAATACAATTCATATAATTATATATAATTAATATTAATTAATTTAAAGAAATTGTTAGCTTAAATAATGAATAACTAAAATTATATTAAAGATCACAAATTTAATAAACTTTGAGGTCTAAGAAGAAAGGTTATATAACTATACTATTGAAAATAGTAAAAAGTATATTTATTATGAATTTTTTGAGGTTTTTATTTAATTAATTTAGAGAAGATTACATTAATTAAATGTTTAATATTAATATTATCAAGAATATTAATCCTATTGAACAAACCAAAAAGGTGTTTTTAAAATTTTTTTTGCTGCATTATATAAATAGGCTTAAATGGATTTTAAAACTATTTATAATTTACCAATTATTTATTATTTTCTATAAATATTTTTATATTTATAAATACGTTTAATATGATGACTATAAGAATTTTATTAGTAACAAGTAAATAATTTGCGGCAACTTATAGATAATAAATAAATAAATAAATCCAGTTTTGTTTATTTCATTAATGATATACATTAAATTCATGAAAGTATTTATTTAAACTTTCAAAAAGGTGAATTAGCTTAAAGGCTTTAACCACCGTATCTTGATCCAATTAAATAGTTATCGAAAATTTTGTAACCTTCTAGTTTCTATATCTTGGTTACCTTTGTTCTTACAATTTTGTACGATTTGATTCTTATCATCAAGCTTATCGATGATCGATTTCTTATCAGGCTTTCGTTTTAACTAACTGAATCGATTATGCCGTTTTATGATATCCATATGGTTTAATTTCATAGTCCAATCTTGTACACTTATTAGGTTAAAATCATTTTGTTTATAAAGTTAATAAATTATTTATTAAAACTAATTAATAATTGATAAGCTAATGACCATACGCCTAATGAAAATAATGTTCAACTTTTTTTTTTTTGGCTAAATTATTATTGATAATGCGAATTAGGTTATCTAATAAATATAATTAAAAAAAAAAACTATTTAAATAAATTCGAAATATTTTATATTTTAGGACATCGTGTTTTGAAACCATCTCATGAATTTTGAATATTTCGAAAATTGAAATTTTGGAAATTTTAAATAATTTTTCAGCTATTTAAAGTTATGGCGGTTTGAAATGTCATACGACTTTTTTTTTTTTTATGCAAACTAATTTCTTTTACTTGAGCGAACTAGCATAAAAGAAAGATATAAAAGATTTTTTATTTCTTTTTTTAAAAGAATTCTCACGGTTTTATTCTTATGATATAAATCAAGAAAATATTATTAAGTTATTTCGTCCACATTGATGCTAAGAATGTATGTAAAGAATTTCTAAATTTCATAGTTACAATCACCAAATTGAATCCTAATTTATTATATAAAAAGATCGACATCTTGAAATGGGTTTCATAGAATGAATGTGAAATGATCGGTTTAGGATATGAATACATCCAATTTGGCCAATAATTGCATGGTTGTACTACTGCGCAAAATTCGCGTAGAAAATGTAAAATGGAAGTGGCTGAAAAATTTAAAATTCTTGATTGCATTTACTTGAAAATCTTTAAAAATTTTCTGGGGTTTACCTTAAATTTGTAAAATAAAGTAATTACCCAGTAATTGTGATACATGTGTACATTTTGAGAAAAGAAATGTGAAATATTAAAATTATTTATCATTCAATAATGTTTTTGTTTTATTTTTTGAATGGAAATTTTCAATAAAATAAAAAAAAAAAATGTTTAAGTGATGCGAGATGAATTAATTCCGTTATTTAATTCTTCTTTGTGCATTTATTTATTTACACCGTTACATGAATTTTTTTTTTATTTTTTTTCCTAATATTGTCTGGAATTTAGATTCCGAAGCTTTTTTGAGATTAATCATGAGCTGATACTTGCAATAATGGTTAAATTAATGAATTTCTGAAGCAATGCATATGAAAAATTTTCTTTGTGATCTGTTTCAAATCCAACAATCCCCTTGTACACAAATCTTAACTCGATTATGAAAAAGATAATTAAACCAAATTTAATTGATGAACCATTTAACAGGTCCAGACCTCAAATTGGAATACCGCGTTAAAAAAGCAAAGGACGTATATGGTTAAAAGAAACGTATACGGTATCGATCAGAGCGAATAAATAAATTATAAATTATCTTCGCATAAACAAATCTTTTCTTTGTTCACCTTTTTTTTCTTCTCTATCTCTTTTTTTTTTAAAAAAAACAATAGACTTGATTTATATTGTTGGGGAAACAAATAATTCTGCCTAATATGTTAAGGGGGAGAATTTAAACTACTTTCATTTTTAGTCTTATTGAGGCGCGTGATCGTGATTCGTCCATTATTACATGTCTGTATTCATAAGTGCGTTGTTTAAGAAACAGTAATTACGAATTGTTATGCACATAATCCTTAAAGGTGATATAATAAAGGTTATAGATCGATAGTTACTAAAAACATTCCTACAATCATCACGTTGTTATTTATCACATTGATGACGAAATTATTATGATTTCACAAATGCATAGCATAAAATAAAAATTTTTTTACAGATCAACTTACGCAGTAAGTAGATTTACTCACAATCATAAGAAAGATATAATTTATTTGCTTGTGTTCGATTTGAAAAAGAAAGGGCTTTTCTATTTTCACACAAACTTTTTACAAAGTAAATGAATAGTATTCAAAAAGAAAATAATTTCATGATTTATACGCGTTAATGAATGAATAATTGAATTGATCGGCCAAATGAACGTGACCTGTGGGACTGTGGCTGATTTCATCATGCGCAGTAAGTTTGTTTTTGTCATGCTTTTTGCCAGCAAACAATATGATGCGAAGCAAATTCATTAATTTCCTACGCATCAAACTCATCAAAGCAATTCATATGCGCAGCAACCGGTAACGCATTACATAATTCCTACCGCATTTCTTAAAATAGAAAAAAAATAATTAATTAAGCATCGTCATCAAGGTTTCAATTCGAAGAAGTTCATTACTTTCCTTTTCGACAAAGGATTGATTGTCCAATTGGCGAAGCAAAAGCTAACGGTTAAAAGGATATTTATTGACTTAATGGAAGATCTCCTTTTTTGGAAATAAATCGCCGAGATCCGACAAGCCTAATCCAAATATGGAGATTATCGGTTAAATTCTTGCCGGTTCGGATAAATAAATGTACGAAATTCAAAAGAATATGCACTTACATCTTGCTTACGAACATATCGAGCGTCAATTTTCTCCGAGAAACCCGTCTCCCGGTAACAATGAGAACGCATTAGGAAATACTTGCTACGCCATCCAAGAAATTCTTTGTAGAGATGCTCCCGGTGAAAAGAAATAATCAAGTAATTACTATTTTCCCATTTAGAATTATGTGTGAATTATTGTTTCGATCTACCAAATATATGACATCAATAACTAAAATTTACCCATACAGAAATATGTATATTTGGATTTACCATGCACGGTTAAACCACATGGCTACTGCGCAATATAGTTTCTTTATCCATCTTAATTTTATCAAACCTTCAAGCATTATCAATTCATAAATGTTTAAACGTTACGGAACGGCTTGTGCCGTACACCAATCATTGAACACCGTTCACGAAAATTTTAAAACTTTTGGATTGAACTAGTAATAAAAGCCTATTTTAAATTTTTTGGGGGGGGGGGAAATGGTATGTATTGTTAAATATTTCATTATTAAATAGTGTACACCGTGTAAAGGTTGCACCATGTACAAGCAGTATATCAGATGATGTGGCAAATTGTGGCGAGGATTAAAACCTGTTGTGGCGCGCCATTCATTAACGCAAGCAAGGTTTTGGGGGGGGGGGGAGAAAGAAAGATAAATCGTTTAGAGAAAAGAAGTGTTGCACCTTTTCATTTTAGGATTGTTCAATCAATGCATTCATTTTGCATTCATTTTTAATAAAAACAGGTTGACCAAACCTTTTTTTTTTTTCTTTGAACAAAGCTTCTTTCTTCGTATGGCTGATTTTGACTCATCTTGAAGATTATTTCCCAAATTGCTCGATTTATAGAAAGCGACAAATAATTACCAAAGTTAAACATGGTATTGTCAATCTATAAATTCTAGCAAATTCGAGTACTGACTCAGATGATGATCATATTAAAGCTTTACCCGAACCCGAGTTACGGCCATTAAACATTGACGACCCCGTTTTTCGGTAACACGTTCTTATTTGCAGAATGACCGATTTAACTATAAATAGATAGATAGAACTTAATTAGTAATCGCGACAAATCTAAGCCATAAATATCATCTCACAATCTAGAAATGTGGTACGCACTATATAAATCAACAAACAAACAATTGGATTTGGTATAGATAATGTTATTAGATAATTTGCTGCGGAGCCAACGATTGATTGAATGAAATTTTTTTTAGGTAAATTTACGTTATAAACGAATGAGTAATGCATTGGTGGTATGAAATATTAAAAAAAAAATTCATTTACTTTTTAGGTAATAATGAGAAAGAAAAAGGGAATCATAAAGGGTTGATATGAACTTATCTTCAAGATTTCCTAAAAAATGGTGGCATCATTTGATGTATGGATCTTTTTTTTTGGAAGTAAGGGAACGAACATTTGCTTTTTTTGCTCAAGAAAAAAATTTAAACAATAATCTGAATGCAACAAATAGTTTTTAATATCTTAAAAAAATGAATAGAATGTTCCATTGTATTTACGCGTAGAATTATTTGTTTATCTATGCGAACTCTTATCAAACGTATTTTACGAATTAGGGGGGATGTTGCGCATACTAAAGCAAGAGTTCAAAGAATAACCTAATTGAGATGATACGTGTCTCGTCACATTGTACAATAATTTTAATAATTTTAAGCGGCTGGTCTTTAGACAATTCCGATATCTTTAATGCAAAAAAAGGCAAGAAATTTCCATTGATCTATAAAGTTTAGCATCCATTACAAAGGAATGATTTCCTTTCGCAGGATAATAACCTATCGTGTGTAGATTGGCGTGTGCAACTAAAACCTGGGTCTAAACGACATAAATTGTTTCGTTCATTTTTCTTGAAACTACAAGCCAAATGCAGCGAAACATGTTTGGCACACAGGCTTTAAAATTATAAATAGAATCATTACGAGAAATCAATTGATAATGATCTCGTAATATCTAAGGACGAATCAAATAAAACAAATTTTTTTTCAATAACAGGACAATGCGTCCAAATTAGTTAATTATAATTTCTAAATACGTAAACATGACAAAGTTTCTAATACCGTGTGCAAAAAAAAAAAAAATTCCAAGAACGAACAAACGAATTCTCAGTAAACCTTTGTCATCTTTTTTACGCCCTCCCGAGAATTCAGGAACGATTTATTTTTCTTCGCATTTCTAAAATCACCTTATTTAAAAAATATTATAGACTTTTTTTTTTAACATTATAATGTTGTGATCGATTTTTTTTTTAATTAACATTATAATAATGTGATCGATTGTAGATTAAACAACAACATATGATGAAATTGTTATCCCTTTTCTTCAAAACCTGAATTGGCGTGCATTTTTACATGGTACTCCTATTTGACCTTTTATGACCAACAGTTTTTCAAATAATAAAGTATACCAGAAGACTATTATTAGAAACTTATGAATTCCAGGGAAAAGGGTATTTGTATGAATTGAATATTAAAATAGAAAACAAAGAGAAGAAATGATTTATTTTATTTTGATGAATAAGTGTGATACAATCCATGTGATTGGCCGATCCTTAGCCAATCCATTGTTTTTTTTTTGGTTTTTTTTTATTTTCCATCCTAAATGTTCATTTTACACATTACACGAAACCTAATAAAATCATTAATATTGTGGCTTGCCTCATTGGAATTTAGGTGCCACGATTGTATTGAACCCCCCAGAATTCATGCAACAAGTTAAATTTCAATTTACTATAAACTTATCACAAGTGATTTTTTGAAGATTTATTTGATGTTTAATGCATAAATGATAATAAAATGAGTGATTTCATACCAGGTAACGGTAAAAGTAAAGGTTAACGTAAGAAGATAACAGGCAAATAAACAAATAATGATTTAATCCGTCTGGTGAGTTTCGTCACTCTTCGTCATTTATCCACCCAATCCTGACAAGGAGAAACGACATGGTTCATATCACCCTAGTCTTGATGTGACGTTTTGATTACCACCAACTAGGAGGATATCTGATTTGATTTGGTGATGAATTTCCAACCGATCGTCAATATACAACTGCAAACTAGCCACTTAATGTTACCATTTCCAAGGACCAGGTCTCAGATTTCTAGTTTAAAAAAAAACTATATAAAAAAAAAAAATTTTTATGATGAACTTTTATGGTGAGGATTTTGTCGATCCTTAGTTTATAATTTTATATTATTTATTTATATACATAATTACTGTAAGGTTGTATATATATTTAATTAATTTAAATTTTTATTATTTATATGGATGGACAATCCAAAACCTTTCTTTCTTTTTTTAATTTATTATCGTAAAGTACTGTAAAAAAAAAAAAAAATTAAAAAAAAAACAACCAAAAAAAAACTTATTTTTAAAATCCTATCACATGACGATTTTCAAAGAAAAATAAAATATAAATAGTAGCGTTCACCTTTCTTTACAAGTGGATTGGAGACAAGCAAATCAGTTTAAACTTAAAAAAAAAAAAAAATTATCTTTTACTTCTTTTTTTTGCTTTTTTTTTTCTCTAAAACTCCTTAAACAAATGCATTCTTCTTACTTGTACTATTACCCACCGACAATTAATTCTTTTGATTCATACGACGAAAGTATTTTTATGGAACAGGGGTCTCCTTTTGACGTATCCCTTATAAATTCGCCTCGTTCTTTAGACAGTGAATCCGGTAACATGACATCCTCTTCCGTTGAGGCATCACCCAACATAGCTCAAGATCCTCCGATGGTACTTATCAAACCCCCTTTTCCACCAACAATTAATATCGACGATTTAGTTACTTCAAAACCGAACGGTGATAAGCCAAGTAAATCTTCCAATGCATTTATCATCTATCGTAAAGCTTACGTGAAAGAGCTTCACTCAAGAGGAATTAACTTACAAATGACCCAGATATCCCCAATGGTATCCGAATCATGGAAGCAAGAACCCGAAAATGTTAAGGCGGAATACAAACGTCTCGCCGAAGCCGCGAAAAAACGTTATAAGGAGATGTGGCCCTCAAAGCAAAGACGTCGACAACACAGAAAACAACAACAGCAGCCACAACCACTCCCACAATCGTTATTTATCGACCATTCAAAACAAACGAACGAGCTTGGTTTAAGTAATCTAACTCCAACGCCAGTTGTAGATATGAGTCAATGGGATTTCTCGCAACCCATCTGGCCTCTAGGTGACAATCACCAAGCAATTTCGCCATTACAAACCCTTTCGCTTGATCCAATGTTATTAAACACAACCGATGGACTTTATAATAATAATAACACACAAGGAGGGCTAAATTCTTCATCAACTTTGAAGAGTCCAAATGATTTTATCAGTTCGAGTAGCACGGACAATTCTCCATTGATAAATTATCTCATAAATAATAACGAACGACCCACAGGTAGCATGCCTGTACCGAATGACTCCAAGGGAGCCTTATTGGCATATCATAACCTCATGGTTAATTGGCATAAAGATCTGAAACGACAGGAAACGCATCCATATAAAACATTTGCAGACGCAATGAGTGTGTCATTTTTCACACTTCATTTGGTTTAAAATCTGATATAGATATTTCAAAATACATTTTATTTCTCTATCTCTCTAATATTCAAAGTATATTATTCATATAAATTAGCTGGGCATCATGAATTTTCTATTAATCTGGCGGACGGGACTTTTTTTTATTTTATTTACCATAATAGGTTATATATGTATAAAAATATGCAATGTATGTAGAAACTTTTTTTCATTAGATTGTTGTGTAAATATTTTTTTTCTTTTAATATTTTTTTTTTTGTGATTCAGACGAAAAAATCTTTACACAATTATAATTTGAAGTACGCGTTTATTACTTTCTTTCATTATGTATGTACATAAAAAAAATATATAAGATTTGATTCTTTTAAAGTATAAAATATCCTGACTTTAAATAGTCATAACCAATTAGACTTTTATAATAAATATGCAAAAAAATATCTATTAAAAAAAAAATCCTTCAAGACCTTTTTTTTTCAAAAAAAAAAAAAAGGAAAGAAAAAAAACTATGCTTCAAAAATTTTTAATCCTCTAAGATGTTAAGAATAAAAAAATTATCCAATCAAGTTTTTCTTCGCCTTCGGTTAAATATGTAAAAAAAAAAAAAAAAAATAATAATAATAATAATATATAAATAATTATGATATGTTTAGCCGTTTCTTTTTTTAAATTAAAAATTTAATTAAATTTAATTACGATGATAAAGGAAAATCTATCCACAATGTATCAGATATATAGATTAAAGTTAACTTTTTTAAATTGTGATCTGCAAAAAAAGGTGGTAGAGTAGAGTCTATCGTTCGATGCTTTAACCCGCCAAGTTGTCGATCTAACCAGATTTGATCATTAATAAACAAGGTTGTGAATATGGTTCAGTACAAAGGTTTATAAAAAAAAAAAAAAAAAAAATTAAGGGACAACGAGAATTTCACGATTTTATTGGTACAAAAAAACTTTTTATATTAAACCCAATTTATTATGGTGTCATGTCAGAGCGAACCCCTCCCCCCCCTTTGTTCATGCATGTTCTTTATTAGGCGGTTCAAAATTTATATTTTTTTTTATTTTTGACGCATAAACAATATTTAATATCTACCATTATATTAAAATTACTGAATAAAAATCATTGATTTCCAAAAACATTAAAAAAAAAGCGTAAAATGAATATATTATGAATCCAATTGTCAATTTATTTGTTATTTAATTTCATCCACTTGACCAAAATTGGTAATTAATTCGCAGTTTAAACACCGGGTCCTGTATTATTCGATTATTCTCTTGCCAGTTTTGGACATTTATACCTGAGAAATCCGCAGAAACTCCTTATTACCAAGAAATCTTTTGATGAAACTTTTCGACGCATATTGTGACATTTCTTTGTTCTCATAAGAGGACTTGAAGTACACGTAATAAACATTTGAAAATTACCATTAATTACTGCATTAGCGGATTATCCGAATTCAAATAAATCCTTACAGTGAAAAAAGTTAAAAATGAAAATTATGTACCATTATTAATCTACTATATTAAGGTATTAATATATTGGGAGTAACCTGGTAAACATTAATTTGGGTCCGCCCGAATGTTATTATTTACTACATAATCCCGCTCGTTTGTTTTTGTTCGTTCTATACATTTAAATGAAAATCTTTATGTTCTGCGGCCCTTTCAGTTTGAAAATATTTCATAAATGCCAATCTTCACCTTTTTGTAATAATTCTTTTAAATTTTCTCTTTTTATTTTCCCTTGTTGTCACAAAACCTTCTCTTGAGAAATGCGCTCACTTTAATCTGGTTTTTCTTAAAAAAGTTAAGGAGATTTATGATATATGAAGATATGACACAATGGTTCCCCTTTGTATTATTAATGTTGAGGATTTCGCGAAAAAAAAATGTGATTGCTGCGCTTAAAAATTGCCTAAACAGAGTAAGCGAACGGGTAAATTGTTCACCGATCGTAACACATGCATTTCATCTTGTTACAAGTTTAAATTAATATTAATGTGATTAAAATAAAATAAAAAATTTCTAAAAATAAAACATCTGTCAAAAATTCTAAGCCAATCAAGTTAATGTGTTCATCTTGGAAGATTTCCATGGAAGTGATCTAAAACTATTTATAGTCATAAGATTAAATAAACCCGCACCTTATACTCCGACGCATTGTTTACGAAATCGGGTAAAATTTTACCGGGATTCATGACTAATTATGAATTATTTTTTTTTTTGTTTTGCGATTAATAAAGCGGTCACTTTTTTTTTCTCTCTTTGAATATTCCCAAAAAAACCTTTGGCGTCAAACTCCTATTTTGAAATGATATATTATAAATCAACAATGGTTATCATCTATGGTTTTTTTTTTCGATTATTTTTAATTGGTTTCGGCTTATCCGACATCTCAAACGCAGGCAATCATGTATATTTAATGAACCTCTAACTTCATTGGAAACAAAAAATTCGAAGAAACCCTTCCATGAATGCCGCTTTGTCTTGAATTATTATTAATCCCTTTCTAATATTCTTTTTTTGGTAAATTCGGACTCGGTTTGATCATACTTGGAATTTCTATGAAAACCTTCTTTTTATTTAATGGGAGAAAAAAAAAATTTTTTTTTAATAAGCTTTATACGATTAAGGAAATGGTTTCTCGGCCGTAAATAAGAACAGCACATAACATGTAAACAATAAAACAATAAAAAAATTTTTTTAAAACAAGGTCACATTACATAAACAAAGATCCAAAACATCTTCATTAAATGTAAGCTTGAACCATAAAATGCGTTGCTTTTTCTATAATCCAACATTTATGAAAGAAATATTGTTCGCCAAGTTCCTATATGTTGTTGACTGGTATAAAGACAATAATGGGGAGTTGTTTCCGATTAATATTTTTTTTTTTAAAAAAAAAGGGGGGAATTCCAAAGAGAAAATTCGATTAACCAATGAGTCGTTTGTACATGAGAATGCATTCATCTCCTCCATAATTATCAAATTATCAGGTTGATTGAATTTACGCGTGAATTTGGATTCGCCGTGCATAATTTAGAAACATCATTCAAGCTGATCTTAAAAAGGAAATATGAAATATGGCAAGTTCCGAAAGGTAATCCATTATACGTAATTACGTAAAACGCTACGCGCGCGCTCATAAATACATAGTTTCCGAAATTTTTGATTCGTAATCACACTATATGTAGTTAGAAACAAATTAAATTAATTGATTTTAATGAAGTACGTCATATGGATGACTTGTAATCTTTTTTCCATTGTCTTCCTTCCAAAAATGAACAAATAATTTGTAATAAAGTTTTTATTATTATTACTTCTATTGGATGTTATTTAAACGGAAAAATAATTAATTTGTTACTATTTTTCATTAATTTATAAAAAAAAAAATGTGTATGGTTTTTCCCGCCAAACCACAGTCATGTTGTGCGAACGGATGGAACCTTCACCTTAATATTTGCCATATATGCCGCCACTTAATCTAATGGATTGCATCATTATTTACTTTTGATAATGGTGCGCTTCAAAAGCCACTCTTCTTGTTACCGAGAATTGAGGATGTAAATCCCCGATCACTTGCTGTGCGGATTTTTTGTTGCTGATCTTGTAACCAAGATTAGATAAAATTTTCCCCGATTGGACTGGTAGGATGACATGACATCACCTTGGCGCATCACTCGACACAGCTACCTGGTTATCCCTCTCGTTTTGGGATGGTAATCCCGAACTTTACAAGGCATCAAGGCATCGAAGGACAACGAAACTAGTTTCAGGTTGACTGATACTGTCAACGATTTGATTGGTTAAAACATGAATCATTCGAAATTCTCGATAGGAAGGGACGTGTGATCGGCTTCTGTTTTATTTTTTGTCAAAGTATAGTATTATGGACTTCTTCCTTTGATTAAAGTTACCCTGAGTAAAAGTTCTTTTTGTAGAATCAAAAATATACATATATATATATTTTTTTTTATTTCTTCATAACATCCGGAATTAGAATAAAAGGAATGCACAGTTCAAATGAGGAAGGATATATATTTATATTTATCTTTTTATATGTTAAAAATATAACAAAGACCAATCATTACGCATTGTTTATCATTTCCCAACAAATGAATTGTCAATCTCTCATTTTAAAAAATTAATTTTTTTTTAAAAAAAAAATATGTATTATTTATTTTTTGTTTAAAACTTCCAGAAATTAAAATGTGCTTGTTATGATGAAAACTTCTCGGGCCGTTATCCTTTTAAAAAAATAAAGGAATATTTCTTTGTCAATTATAGTAAGGTTTCTTAACTTAATTAGTCAATTAATATCAACGGTCGTGTGACATGAAATTATTGATCAAATGACGAAACGCGTCCTTCACATCTGTTTTGTTTGAAAACTATTTTTAGAAGTTAACTATCGTTGTATAACGTGAAACTTCAAAGCAAACATGAGAACTATTATCAACGGAGTGATACGAAAGTTGTGGCTTGGAGTATTTTGGCGCCACCACACAAATAAGATGAACTTTAGCGTTTCATTGAAAATTTAAGAGATAGGTCCTTTCCTAATTTAAGATTTCGCATAAAAAAATAAATATATGACGAATAACTCCGATATTCCGAATGATTAACAAACGAACTTAAAAATCGATTATTATTTTTTTTTCTTTCCTTTTTTGTTCCCAAAAATGCACCCCGAATTTTTTTTTAAGTTACAAATTCAATCCTTTTTTTTTTTTTTTTGTCAATAAATTGATTATCTTGAGGGTTGTGAAATGGGTAGTGATGAATATAGTAAAATGGCTTGTTGTAAATGATTCCACTCAAGGGTTGATAGAAAATAATTTGAAAATAAATAGTTTATGTAACCCTATATGAACGTAAACAAAAAGGAAAAAAATCAATTTTACATAATTAACTTAAAAAGAATGTAACCTAACTAAATTGGGTTAATTAGGGAGGTCGGTGACATGTTGGCAATCAAGAAATGTGGTCAGATATGGAATGTGACTTCTAAATTCAAATGTTCAGATTTAGAAAGTTTCATGGATTTCAGGTTTAAGATCCGGTTTATGCACAAAATGTTGAAGTGACATTATCAGTTGATCCACAGTTATCAGCCACAAAGTCATCACACCAGCCACAATGATCCTTCGTCAGTAACCTTTATACGTTTAATAACTAACTTAAATTTGGAAAAGAAAAGATTGAACAATTCAAAACTTTGATTTCAAAATGAACGTCTCCGATACTTCAATTGAATGATGACCAATTGATACAACTAATATAGTAAAATGGTAGTGATTTTATTTAAACAATAAAAAATGAGCGGAGTTCCGATTAACGACTTTAGCCCAATTATTATTGAATTTATTGAATTATTATGGAATTGTTCGTGCCTTACGTTACAGTTAAAGGTTAAGTTCATCCTGTGTTACCAACGCTCTAAACGTTGACAAATGTGCCATGATGCACATGATGTGGCTTAACATTTGTAGAATCACTATTTTAAATTTCTGGGTTCCTTCATCCGGGCTGTTGGTTCGACCAAACTGATTTCACGATTAGCCACAATTATGCAAAAGATGATACATGGCTCATAACGTGACATGATTCGCCTTTTTGATTGGTGCTCGGGACAGGCCGTTTTTTTTTAATATTTTGTACGAATGATTTTTTGACTTCTTATCTAATTTAACCGGTCGGTCATGTGCATTTTCCTTTGTTATATCTGTTTACTGACACGGAGAAATTGGTGACGAAAAATTAGATCGTGTTGAGAGAAACATAATTTCAATCAACTCTTTTACACATGGCTACATGCATGCTAAATATTTGTCAATAATCAGCGTTTTTTCACGTGATGGTTGAAGAAAATTGCTGCGACTTGTAATACAAGATTAATAATAGGGCATAATTGGTTTTATTATATCACATGATTAACAAGACACTTTGCCAAGGATCTTTTCGACTTGGCCCGAGTATATTATGCATATATTCATTATGATCTTCTTAATTTAAGCACTAGATGTTGTACATCGTCAATTGTTAAAATAGTAAATTCGGATATAATGCCGACTTATAAAGGAATCCTTTAAACGTTTCGCATATTTAATTAAATATTAATTTAGAAACTTTTGATCTCGTTACATGTTTATTTATAGATCAACAATAAAATTAAAAAAGTTGAAATATCAGCCCCAAAAACATCTTAAATATATCACGGAAAATTCTATTCGAATAAAATGTTTAACGTTAATCTCGTGAAACGCGAATCAAGGATTGAACCCTATTGATCTTTTTTTTTAAGGGATAGTTTAATTAATATATTATTGTATTAATATACAATTGATTGGCAGAAAACAATATAACACGAAAGTACACTTTTTTAAATTCACGCGTAGTTGAAGTAATACATTTCTTTATCTATGTGCGATAATGTGAAATTATGAAATTCAAGCACATAAACGTTCCAATGATCTTTTGGGAAAAAAAAAGATTTCTTCATCTTTTTTTTCTTACTTGTAAGGAATATCCTTCCTCATTATCCTCATTATTTATACATTTATTATTTAAAGATGACAAAGAAATCAATTCATGAATAAATTTGTATAATTATCTTCACTCCGATGGACCAATGATTGTGAACTAATATATTTATTTACAAACAACAACAATTTCATATTGGCTCAATTTGAAGAATTATAATTAAATGCATAAAGAAAAGATTGATCAAGCTATTCCGTTTTTGTTACTGCAGCGATTTCACATTTCTTCCAAGATCTATTTACGGATTCTTTCTTTTAATTCATTTGATTAAAGAATATAACAATTGATTGCATCTCCTTTCAGTTGAAACATGGATATTGATTTGACTCGGGGTTCTTAAATTAATTCACAGCATAAATAATAACACTTATGCTTCCTCATTCATTATTTCTCAAAAAAGATCATATCACTGATGGGATTTGTTCTAGTTCCATTTTCAGCACTGATAACAAAGAAGGTTAGTCCAAATTTTAACAAGGGAATACGCCTCCTTTAATCTCATTTTTGAACGCGTCAATACCGCAGTAAATACAAATGTGTTAAAACGTTAATTGGCATTGTTGATCACACTTCAATTCATTCATTCAATCACAAATTCCTTTATTTGGTACAATAAACAAATAATAAGAAAAAAAAATAATCTAAAATTATCCTCATTTAGAAATTTTTCTGATTGTCAATATAACTTATCATTAATCGAACTTAGTTTCCGAATATGGTACATCAGTTACTTCAACATAAAGGGCAATAAAATGAAAAATAAAATGGAATATTCTTTTTTTATTATTTTCATGCATCGTTAATTTAAGACCAAATATATTATTAGATTTTTAATTTTGTTTTCTTTTTTTTTAAAAATAATATCATAAGTAAAATATATATACATTTAATTTAATTTTTTTTTTTATTGTAAATTTCATCGCAAAATAACGAACAATAGATGATCAACTAAACAATATCTTTGCAAAGAATTTTCCATGAATAAGGGATCCTGTATCCGTAATTCGAGAAGAAAATTCAAAGGCCGTGGCTTGTTATCTCATGAAATTCCCATAGCATTATTGTATTAAAACTTGGCACAACAAACATTTCATTATTATCTATTATAAAAAAAAAATCAGCTTGAAAAAGTTTTATAAAATGCAAGGTTACTTGGGTACACATATTTTTTAAAAATAAAATATCTATTTTTAACTTAAAGAGAAGTTTTCTTTAGAATTTATAAATAGATTATTTTTTCCATAAACTTGTTCTATTTGTTTTATTTTTAAAAATATATGCAAATGAGTGTACCGAAATTTTGAATAATTCTCGGTAATAAGAAAAATGTATAAAAATTATCACAGCATTAAATAAATATGACAATTGGGACACGCGCTAGTTATTCCCTTTTAGTCATGCGGAGAAAGGTTACCGAATGCTAAGATTGAAAGGAATAGTGTATTGTGTGCACGGTCATGAATCTTCATTGCATACGTAAATTACAAGAATTTTCCATGATATTTTTTTTTTTCGCGCAATCTTCTTAATTTCAACAAGTCATTAAAAATGAAACGCCACTACTTAAGATTATTGATGATCTTTTTACACATGTCTGCACGCGAAACAATTATAAGTTATGTTCGAAACGGATATGTTCTAATTTGATGGTAAAAACTGTTGTGAAACTTACAATTTTCAAAATTTCATTGTACAATGAAATTTTTTTTTTTTAATAATCCCATTACTATAATCCAACATAAAAAAATTTAAACTTTCGATAAAATCATCATCTTATCAAATTTACGACTTTCATTTCATTTGAAGTCATTATTCGGCAGTTTCCCCATTAGGTCAATATTTGCAAATCCCGCAACAAGGCGCAGTACATGGCATGTTTTAATACCTGGGACATTAAGTGCTCGGAGAGCAAAAGCTATTATTTTAAAATAACGAATACATAAGAAAAGAATATTTGCTTATTAAAAGGTCAACCAATAAACCAACCGAAATAAAAGTTTTATATGAGAAAATTAATTTAAATAATCGGAATTTCGGTTAAATTGCGCGTTCAGATTATTTATTTGCCTTAATGAAAAATATATATATATATATTTGCGTATTTGTCTTCCCTAAAACCCAACAGTATAAATGAAAATCCAGTGACACTTTCATATGCAATACCGAATTATTTACGCGATTATGATGCAAAAAGCAGGATTATTTATTACATCAACAATATAATTAAGGAAATTATTAAAGATAAATTTTTTTATTTAAATAAAGAACTCTTTATTTCATTTAATTTATTTGGTTTGCAACAAGAATAATTCGTGTTGTAGGTTAGAACCAAAAAAAAAAGTTGGTTGGTTAAACTAAACTTATATATAATGAAATAATTACATGTTAGTAAAACTAAAAAAATAACGCTAGTTGTACAAGGCATTTGATAAAAAATCTAGTAGATTGATAAACTGTTTATTGTATTCTCTGTTCTTCGGTCTCAATCGTTTGCAAAAACAAATAAAAGAACGCGAAACCTTAAAATTTTACATTTTAGGCAAAAATAATTGATGTCGGATTGATATGGTCTCATTCAAAAAAAATAAATAAATAAATAAACGAGTCTTTACGTTTGATCGATCAGGAACTTCGAGATTCTTAGGAAAGATTTGCAAAGTGAGCTGGATGAATCATTTGTGTTATATATATATAATACTAAAGGGACAAATAGGATATAGCAAAAGGAATTGAGAAGAACAACATGCCATATTAGAGCGACAAATTACCGACTATCGTGAAATGAATGAAAGGCTTGAAAAGGTTGGAGGATCTAAAAATAATATTACAATATTGGTAGATCAAATGGAACATGCTATTGATAGTTATCATGAAATTAAAGATGATATAAGAGATTCATTTCATTTAAAAATGTTAAAATCTCAATTGGACGGTTTGAATTAAAAACAATCATAAATATTTTATACTTTAATCGCGAGATTACACGTTTCAAAACCTTTGATAACAAAATATAAAAAATTTTTTTTTTCATTTTTCAAATGAAATGAACTAGGTTTAAGCTTTATTATAAAACAATACTTTATAATAATGTTTTACTAATATAAATAAATCTACAATTTACATATGTTAAAACAAAAACGAAATAAGTATTTTTTTTCTCTTGTTTACCTGAATTTCCTAAACAAATATATGTACACACAAACGAAAGGAAGAAAGACCTTTACCGTAGAACCTACAAAAAAATAACAGGACCTACAAAAAGCAAACCTACAAAAGATCCTATAACCTAAACTGAAAATCGAAAAGCGTACGACCTGCTTAACCGACTAAATAGCAAAATAGTTAAAAGAGTAAAGAAAAAATTTTTGATTAAAATAAAGTCAATAATAATAGAACTATCAAAAAAACAATTGATGTTTTGTGTGTATATATATTTTTGGGAAGTTGATGAGAACAGCATGTAACTTATGAAATTTGACCAAAAATAACATCACATATCTGCTTATATGGTTTTTTAATTCGTGAAGGCTATCTGGAATGTCCCCTTTTGGTTGAATTTTAGCCAATCATATCTTTGTGAAAAATAAATTAGTTTTTATTCTTGCTCTTATAATAGTCTAATAGTCTTTATATGACCAAATCAATTATTAACTCAAGTTATTTCGGATTGTGCATGGGTCCCTTCACGTAATCGAAGTTCAACCATACCAGCTTACCCCTCTTTTCAGAAGTCGTGAAAAAATGGCGCCTCTTCTTCAGAGTGATGTTAATAATATTAATAATATTTCAGGAGGACAATTCACTTTATTCCTTTATTCAGAACTGAAAATTTACGTTTCAGTGTAGTAGGCGATTCAAAAACTCATTTATATACAATGTTTTAGACCTATCAACACATGCTAGGGACACAAGAAGCACAAGTGATAGATTGATAAGCTCTCCCGATTACATTCTTTGCACTAATAATTCCACAGTTGCCAAGATGCTCGTGGAAATAAAAGCGCGTCATAATCTGAATTTAAGGGATCATGACCTGTGGAAATTTACTGACATGCTGACTGGGTTCCAGCAGATCCAATCTTTAGATTAAAAAGTGGATCTTTTGGCGAAATGGCCTAATTACGGTATTTGTCAAATTATACTTTTCTCCAACGACCAGAAGCAGAACTAAGAACACTATATGTTTCTCATGTTGTTCATCCTAATAGTATCAATCCGACTTTACTCGAGTGTGTTTACTATATCAGTCACCTTGCTATTAATGATCAAATCGGTAAGATTTGATCGTGTATTGGATGACCTTAAGCTCTGATGATAATGATGTTGATGATTCTGATAACGGCTTTGGAGATGATTATATTCCTGATAATGACGATTCTTTTGATAATAATAATGTTGATTATCTTTCAAAGAAGAGGAAATGGAAGCAGAGTTCTTCAAAACAGACTGGCAGTAAAAAGAAAGTAGTTGCTTCATCTTTCAAGAGAATCATGACCATAGATAGATATATAGGTGGCGGGTCTTTTGGATAAGTTTTTTTCTGGATATTATGATAATCAAGTTGTAGCATGGAAGAATTGTGACGTGTATAAGAAGCAATAATAGATGAAAACGCTAAAACATGAAGCCCATATTTATTCTGTTTTAAGATAATGTCAAGGTATGATTTTTTTTTCATTCATTATATTTTTAGATATTATTAACTTGTCTATTGCAAATTGATATTAGTTCATGATATTCCACGTTTGCTTTATAAGGGTTACATTTATGGTAGATTCCTTTTTACATTAATGTTACAACTAATTAAGAGCGCCCATCACGTTGATCTGGTAAAGAGGAAAAAAAATAATAGTCAATCAGCTCAAGTCAATACATAATTTTGGCGTTTTACATAATAATATTTTTAAGGAAAATATTCTATATGAGCCAAAATATCTCCAATTCTTTATTTCTTTATTGATTTTGGCTTAAGTGAGACCGTGGATAATGGGTCGCCAAAATTGCACAAGGAAAAAAGGAGATTAAAAAGATTTTTACACTTTAAATATCTGGATGCATAGTGTTCATGTGAAAAATTTAAATCAATTATTGATGATTATTTACTTCAACCAGTTCGTAAGCACTAAACTTAGGAATTAGAATTATTTAAATATAATAATTCTTAACAATGATAATGTATTATTACATTAGATGGAATATAAATTACAAGCTACAATGTATATTTAACTTTTCATTTTAAATCATAAAAATGTAATAAATCATATAAAGTAATGTTTGCGCAACTTATTTTTTCCAATGCATATTAAAAACAAAATTCTATTAAATAATAAAGTGAGGTAACAAGAGAAAAATATGATGCTATCAAAGAAGGAGGGATACACAGATCCTAGTCGATTAAATGCGAGTCCCTGAATTAAGTTATTTCTTTGCTCTCTCTTAATTTTTTTCTTACAAAACCAGATATAGGCAAATTATTTTTCATTGATAAGCGGGAACAAAATTTATATTTGAGAGCGTATATACACATAAAACACACACACGCATTTAAAAAATTCAAAGTGAAATCTTTATTATATTCTTTTCATAAAAAAATAATTAAGAAAGGGCCGGCTGGCTAAGTAAAAATGAAAGTAATTGTTGAAAGGCATAAAAGAAAATGCCTGCCTGTTAAGCCTGCCAAGCCTTAACTCATATCTTTCTCGCTACTCTGGATTATTATTTAAGTTATTATCTAAACTATGCTAATTTCTTTACTATGATATTACTGTGTTAAATTTCACCATAATAAAAGCTTTTCAAAGTGATTTTTCCAATATTTTCCCCAGTAAGTTCACAAATTTCATCTCATAATTTCAAACACATAATCCATAGTATCCTCCTCTTCCTTTTTCAAATTAAAAATATGCATAAAATGTTCCTATTTTCTTTGAGAGATGAATTGGATGAATCATTATTATGTTTCAAATTTTAAAAATTTGTATAATCACGTGATAAATATAATAATAATTTGTAATTTGCTAAAATTTTCAACATTGATGGATTCATTGTTTAAAGCGTCTATTAGTAAAAAAAAAAAGAATCAGTCAATATATGCATATAGTCTAAACTATTATACTGTATAAGTGACTTACATGATTTATATAGACATAAATTCCAGCTGGAGTTATGAGTTTCAAATCCATTTTCACTTAAGAAAATATTCAAACTTTATCAGTTAATAACTTTTGATCTAGAAATATAATCAGAGTAATTCTAACGTTATTTTATAGTAATAATTAATGTCTATCGAATTACATTAAAATATTTTAAATATATACACTAAAAGATTTTAAGTTTAATAAATATATTTGATAACTTTTTGTGACACGTATACAGTTGATCAAATTTGACCTAAAGACTTAGGTAATTGCATAACGTTAGATTATTTCATTTTAGAAAGCTTCAATAAAAGTCTTGATCAAAGTAAATTTAGATAAAAATTTTAAAAATCATTATAGCAAGCTTCTTTGATATTATCAAGTTTTGTGATCACATTATTGATCATCAATAAAATTCTTTACATCTCAGAAACTAGCATCATATAAATTAATTTTAGCAATTTCTCCAGTAATTTCTTATTAAGTTTATTATTGATTTTATTGAACTTTATATATATTCTTCAAAAAGTCATGCAGAAAATTCATTAGCAATTTTAATGCTAATTTCTACATTAAACTATTTATACTTTTTTTTATTTTAATAAAAGTCTTTTGATTTGTATAATGATACTTTTATTATATGTCTTATATTTTCAATTTTTATGATAAGATTACTATTAATTTCAAATATATATGTGAAAAGCTTATTAGTAATTTTATTATTACATATAGGAAGATCATTAAAGAATTGGTTTTTAATTATATAAATCAAAAAATATTTACTAAAAAGAATAGAAAATGTAAAGTCTTCAAAAATTTGTCATAAGATATTATTTTATAAAATAAGTATAAATATAATTTTAAGAATAAAGCAAATTTGAAGTAAAAAAAATAAGATAAATTTGTTTTATATTTTCTTTTTACGATTTGCAGAAAAATAATATATTGTATAGCTTATTTAATAAAATATACTGCTTATTTATTAAATCAATATGACTTCTTTTTTCAAAAAAAAATTATATTAATAAGAAAATTAAATATAATAATGATTTTATGTTATACTAATATATTATAAATTTATGTTAATAGAGTAATAGTATATTTACTAGTTATTATCTAGATTAACTAATATTTCTTATTATAAAAAATTAAAATAAAGAATTTAATATTTATTTATCATTGATTGAGATCTGTAAAAATACTAGATAATAAATCATCTATATTAGATTAAGTATTGCTAATTTTTATAACTTTATCTTAAAATGAATTAATATTATAATTAGTCTATAAGTATAATTTGAATGTGCTAATAGAAGTAGAATAATAAAAATTTACTGTTTATTTTCAGAATTAACAAAACTAACTTATATTACTTAATTTTTATTTTTAATAATATATTTTGTCTTTTAATTTATGAAATCAAGAATATAAATAATTCAAAACTGAATGAGTAAAATAAATTATACTAAAATTTTTAGGAAAATATATGATGAAAATAATGCAAAAATAATTCTTTTAGCTAAGAATATTAATAGATTTTCTAAAAATAACAAATGCAATTTACACAATCAAAATATAATGGTATAGTTAAATTATAGAAAAAATGTAAAAATAAAATCTTACTGCATATAAATATTAGAAAAAAAAAATAAGATATTATACTGTACATTTTAGGTAAACTATTCATATAACTGGCCTATACTATCATCTTAAAATCTCCTTTATATCTAAACATATAACCCATATTATAAGATCTATTCTTATAATAATCTACTATATTTTTTATATGACTTATTTCACATACTAAGCATAATAAAGATTTGGTCTTATAATGATACATATCTTCAGATTCTTTACTTAGAATAAACTGAAATCACAGAGTTATTTTACTAAGTTTAATAGTAAAAATTCACCTGTTACTAAACTTACTTTGTAAAAGCTATCTTTGAAATTTTTTAGTGTAATTACTAATAATTTTCTTAATTAAAACTTTAGAATAACTTTATTTTAATATATCATTATAAAAATTAAAAAAAAAATTTATATTCAATTCAATTCAATTTAATTCGATCAAATATTTGATTTGATTTGATTTGATTTGATAAATATTTGATTCAATTTGATTTGATTCGATACGATTTGAAAAAATCAAATCAAATTCAAATTGCTTAAATATTTGATTTGATTCAATTTTGAGGAACCCTACATATAAGTTATAATAAAATTATTCGTAAATTCATTCTATTATATATATAATACTCAATTATATTTTTAATAATCATCTCAATTTCTTTATCTAAAACCTTCTTAATATATAGAATTTTCTTATTATACTAAAATATTACAAAATTTACATTTATAAGATTCTTATTAAATTAATATCAAAAATTCTGTAATACTTTCAGATATCATCATATAGTAAATACAAGAAACCCTATATATCCAAAATTTAGTTTATATAATGAATATAATGATATCTAAAGAGAAATTCAAGAAGAAAATTAAAAGTAAAATCAGAGAATACTAATTTTAATTAAAGGTTATTTATAAATTAATCATTTATAACCTAATTTATTTCAAAGTTTAAAGTCTATTTAAATCAGCAAAGCTTTTTAAAGACTAATTATCATAACTGATCCTACTCTGCCTCTAATGTAATAATAGCAAAGACTTATTACCATCCAGTTATTATTGCAAATACCTCTATTTTATGAGATAACAGAAATAAGTATATTAATGAACACTATAGTTTTGCATCTATAAAAAAGATATAATACACTTTATTATCATCTTTTAAGATACACTACCTGAAAATAAGTTTGCGCGATTTTTTAAAAAAATAGTTTATTATCTTTTTTTTTTAACAAAAAATAGTTTATTATCATTTTTTCTAACAAAATATTAGTATCTGGTTGGCCATCTATTATTGGCAATACATGCTTCTATTCTTTGA